TATATTGTAAGGATTATATTTGCTTTTTTTCTTTCCAAATTCAGTTAAAACTAAGAAGTCTATTTCTACCCTTTTTTCCTTGTTAGTTTCCATATTATCATCCATCCCCACCTTTTTTGTAGTCAGATAGTTCATAATTTCTATTATTTTCCTTATTTTATTTTCACTGATAGTTCTTATGTTCCATAATATCGCTACAATCTGATCCTCATTATTTGTGAGATTATTAAATGCTTTTAATTGTAAAAGTGATCTCATCGTGTCTAATTTAAAATTTTTTTCTTTCAGATTATCCTCTTGCAAACGGATCTCAGTTGTACCAATATCTTCATGTCTGCTATCTGCTGTTGATGTCAAATTTGAGGTAGATGTGAAAAAAGGTGAGTGGATCGAATTTCATTTGTCTCTCTCTTGTATTGATGAAAAAGAACAGTCTGATATCGTTCGTTCCATTTCTTGTTCATCATTTACAATAAAATCCTCCAAAAATTCATTTCTCAATCTTATTCTCTCTTCCAGCGGCTTCTCGAAATATTCTTGATTATAGACTTCAGTGACTGGAACGTGAAAATTGTAGTCTTGCAATAATGCTCTCAGAGATTCAAGCTCTTTAGAGGAGTTAACAATCGAGGATGCGGTTTTAGAACTTTCGTTCAAATTTTCGACACTGTTTTTGGCTGGTGACTTTCCTGTCAGGTATCTACGTTTAATTTCTTTATGAAAGACTTTTATACCGCTATTAGTGATCACCACCTTACTAAATGTGCCACATCTTCTCATTTCGTTACAGTATTTTAATAACTTTCTGACCTGATAAGACCAGTCCGTTGCCACTCGATATCGAATCATATTAGCCATTCCAGATCTCTCCAAGCCAGTATTAAAATTGATGATTGAGTGCTTCACTTTGTCAGCAATTGTAGAGTTGATGAATATGCATTCAAGTGCTGTTTCTGGCAGTTGATCATATGAGAACTTCTTTATTTTGAAGCTTGCTGATTCTATTGGCCACAAAATCTTGTTTAAGTTTATATTTAATTGATTTAGTATCTTTTTAGCCACCATTGGAGGATTCTTCTCTTCTCTGTACTGATTTATATCGTCAACATATGTGAACCTTATCCACAACTTTTTCAAGTCATCCTTACATGCGGCCATCGTTGCAAGTTTTTCAACATCATCACTGGATTTGATTTCATCAATTTCTTTTCGCATTATGTTTAATTCCTTTGAGACATAGTCTGTCGCTTCATTCAATTTCAACGAGAATTGGTTTATAATCTCGCTATCTCTCTTAGCAACTGCTGAAGTTAATAATTCATGAGCCTTGTGCATTTGAAGCACCATTTGTGTGTTCATTTTAAGTAAATCAGCCTGATTAACTCCTTTCTTATCCATGGCTGAATTTATCTCTATGGCCGTAGCTTTTGCTTCCGCCGATGCTAACTGAGATTTTTTAAATTCCTCAATTTCACTTATAGATTTTATCGGATTTACTTCAACAAAATTTGTATTCAATGTTGGCTGTCGGTTAGTATCAAAGGATGATGTACGCTCATCATTCTTTTTCCTGAAATAATTTATGATTCTATTTGCAGAAGGATCAGGTTTCTGCTTCCAGAGTTTCTGTCTGGTAGTTGACGATTTCCCATATAAGTCTTTCACTTCTTGAGGAATTGATTCATTTGTCTGCTTTATGCAGGATATGAAAGACTGTTTCTGATTTTGTGATGATGATGTCGGTGTAATCATTTTGATTCTAAACGACTTTTGCAAACAGTCAAGTTTACAAAAGTTATATGGCTTGTAAAAACAGTGAGTGAAAAAGTATGAACAATCAAGTTCTTATAAAGCTGATCAAGAACATTTAAGTTCTTTCTAAGTGTTTTTGAACAATTAAGTTCCAGATTTTTAACAAACAGTTAAGTTTGGTGATGTTTTAAGAACATTCAAGTTCTCTCTCAGCTTTATACGAACAGTCAAGTCCGTGATTGATCTTTATTTTGTTTCAAACAGCAATAACTTAGCGTTTTTTATTAAATTTTTTTGTTTTTTATTTTTTGTACAATAACAAGACGGAAAAATAAAATCTTTTTGGTTTTTTGTTATCAAAATCGATGTTTATGGCTCTCCTTTATAATCTCCTGGTTGCTTTACTTCCAACTGATTACAATTTGCTATTTTCGATCTTTAAAGGTCCAAGAATCCAATCTAAATATTTTTTTTTTCTTATAAGTTCCCTTGCTAGTATTTCTCAAGAAGTTAACTGATTTATAAAAGTGCCTAATTTTTGTTCTGCAAACTGCACTCTGGTATTTGAAAACCTGTTATTATTGAAAGTTTTTACTGTTCAAAAATATACGATAGAAACCCGTGGGTTTCTTTAAGAGAAACCGTGAGTTTTCACAGAAAACTCGTGGGTCCTCGCAGAAAAACCGTGAGTTTATATTTGAAAACCCACGGGAACCCGCAGACCAAACCCACGGGAAAACTCACAAAGTTTTTTGAATTTTTTTTTTAAAAACCCGCGGGTCAAAACCCACAAGAACCCACGGGGACCCGCAAGACCCGTGGGTTTTCAACTCGTGAGGACCCGTGAGTTCCCGTGGGTTTTGACCCGCGGGTTCCCGTTGTGTCGGTGACCCACTACCGTTTTCGGGAGCATCACCAAATATAATTGCCTGTGACTTATGGAGATTCAGTTTTAAATTGTTCATGTCATAATAGTTTATTATCACAGCTAGATCCTCACGGATATGCTCAAGTGAATCATCAAGTTTCTCAGGATTAATATCAAATATTAATACTGTATCGTCAGCAAATTTCAAGATCTTTGAGTGGGTTATAAGTTCCTTCATGTCGTTGATGTATATAGAGAATAACGTTGGACCCTTCTGTGTTCCTTGTGGAATTCCTTTCCTAATGTGACCAATAAAACTGATTGCGTCATTTATCTTTACATACTGAACACGATTTGTAAGAAAATCCTTTAGTAAATCATAGGCCTTATTTCGAATACCATAATGTTCTAGTTTAGTTAGCAATATTTGGTGATTTACCATATCGAATGCTTTGCTTAGATCCAATGATATTATTAATGCTATTCTGCGATTGTCCATGATATTAGATGTTAGGGATATAGCTTTAGCCAATATATCTTCACAGCTACGTCTCTTTTTGAATCCGTACTGAAAGTGGTCGAGTATGTCCTGTTGATTGAGAAAGTCATTCAATTGAATCAGAATTACTTCTTCTATTACTTTATCAAGAGACGTGGTGACCGACACAGGTCTATAATTTTCTTTGCTAAATCGAGATTCTTTCTTGTAAATTGGGTGAACAACTATTTCTTGAAGTTTTGAGGGATAAACACCATGAGAAAACATTTGATTGATTAATATCTCCAAATGTTTGGCAATATCGTCACTTGTTTGTGACAAAATAAACGGTGAAATGTCATCAATACCTGTCGCCTTTCCAATATCAAGCATTTTGAGTATTATTGTTATGTCACTGGATGAAACAAAATCAAAAGAAAAAGTGTAAGAGACTCTATCTCCCAACGTTAAATAATTATTAGGAAACACTTCTGAGGTACCGACTATAGACATGAAGTAATGTTGAAAAATATTAGCAACCAGAACGTTATTTGTAATTTGAATGCCATTTTCCAGTAGAGTTATTTCATTTTTTTCTCTTTTTCGACCACTAAGTTGGTTAAGGACTTTCCACGATTCTTTAGTATTAAGCATAGCCTTGTCATTGAAGTAGGCTTTAGCTCTCGTGGTACTGTAGTTATCTTTTATAATAATCAAATCTTGTAGTTTTCTTTCTAGCCTTGCTGTTGGTCTGTTGGATATTTTTAATTCATGGATATGCTCGGATAAATTGGATATTCTATTGCAATAATTAATGTAAGTGATGTCTATCCATTTAGGAAGTTCAATGTTTGGATTTACATTTTTTAACGTGACGAATACAGTATTTTTGATAATTATTGACGAGATGAAATTGATGAAGCTGTTGCACATGATTTGTGGATGGATATTAACAGGTAAGTTCCTTATATTGTTTTTTATTGATTCAATTACCTTATTCTTATTAATTCTTTTTATTTTCATGGATGATAACTTGATGTCCTGAGTTTCAGAGCCAATTTCCTTAATGAATATAATATTGTGATCAGAGAATCCATCTGTGACTACTTTATCAGTTGTCAAAGTGAAAACATCACATCTGTCCTGATCTACAATGACATGATCTATTATTGTATGATTCAGAGTGATCTTATTATATCTAGTGATTGCTTTGTTGATAACAGTAAGATTGAAATTACTTAGAAGTGTATGGTATGCATTAGAAGATTGAATATTGTCATTTTCGTTATATCTGTTTATGTTAATATCTCCCATTATTGTAATATTGCTGTCGTTCCGCATAAGTAATGATTCCAAAGCTTGATAAAAAGCTTCTTTGTTGCCAGATGGTGGACGATAAACTCCTACAATATTTCTCGGCGTATCGTTATTTTTAATCATTTCCATTTGTAAAAATTCAAAATCATTAGTCATCTCCGTGAACTTGATAGTTGCCTTTATATCTTTTTTAACGAAGAAACCTATTCCACCTCCTTTTCTGTCTGTTCTTAATTGGGAATAAAGCTTGTACCCTTTTATATTAAAGAGATTAAATTTGCTTTCGATTTTACCCATTTCAATAATTACTATTAAGTCTAGCATTAGACCAAGTGAAAGAATTATATCATTCACTTTATTCAGTTTTCGTTTGTTGATTGTATTAATATTCCAGAGCATGCTAATAAATGGATGTTTAAAAACACAGTTGACATTTTTGTTCCGATGATTTAAAATTGATTTTATTTTTTCCAGATTAAAATTAAGTAGAGTGACCTTGGTTATAAAGTCTTCATCATTGTCTTCGGTGCTTTGCGGCTGCTCATATGGAATTTGTGTGGATAATGAGATTGACTGGGCTTTATATCATATTGGTTGTGAGGCGGTGGATACTATAGATGCATCCATTTCATCATCCTGAGAGACGTCATATTCTTCAATGTTTGAGTGTAATTGGGTATCATAAGCTTCTCTAATTTTTAATTTTTCCTCGACAGTTTTAGCAAAATAGTCGGAATTGTATGCTTGCAATGTAGGCACTGTGCAATTAAAATCTTGTAGCTTTTTACGAAGTGAGTCAAGTTTGCTTAGTAAATTAACAAATGATGAGGTGTATGTTGAGTTATTCTGTCTGTGCAATTCTTTGTGAAATACTTTGAGACCATCATTTGTTATGTAAACTTTATCAATGACCTTGAAGCGCATCATTTCATTACAAGGGTTCAAAATTGAGCGAATTTCATATGACCAGTCAGTATTAACTTTATATCTGATAAGCGTTGACTGTCCATTTTCCTCTAGTCCTTTATTGAATTTTCTGATACCATTTTTAACAACTGAAGCCAATGTTTGATTGACAAATATGCAACACAGAGCAATTTCTGGCATTATTTGATCTGAAGAGAATTTTTTTGATTGATAAAAGAATGATTCGATTGGATATTGAGCCATATTAATCCTAATATTTAACTGTGAAAGCAGTTCCTTAATCGATGTAAATGAGTTTTTAGCTCTAAAATATTCAGCGTCTGAAGAGTAAGCAAATCGTATCCACACTCTTTTTAAATCACGCGAACATAAATGAATCACTCTTAAACATTCCGTTTCATCATTACGCTTAATATCCCTGATTTCCTTCTTTACATGATTGATTTCATTGCTAATGAATGATGTACATGATTTAAGCTCATTGGTAAATTTATTTATAGTGGCTTCATTCTTCAAGATGATTGCATTTTTCAATTGAGTGATTAATTCAAGCATGGTCTTATTCATATTTCCCATTACTGTGAATAGTTTATCAACATTTCGTTCATCGCATTTGGTAAGTTGTTCATATTCGTTGGACACTGTGAAAGCTGAAGTTAGTAATGAATTTATTTCTGTCAGTGTTTCATCTGTTGGAGCTGTATTTTCGGCTGGACGTATTTCACGGTTTTCATTAAAACGAGATCCACAAATGTCACTCGATTTGTTGAAAAAATCATTAATTTTCCAAAATTTATTCCTGGTTTTGTCCGGATTGTAATGTTTTGTTCTCTGTTCCTTATTTTTATTTTTACTTGAGCCTCCACCATACAATTTAGCTACTTCCTCAGGAAGTTTTCCTTTTTTTTTTGAGGAGTTGAAGACATTTAAATGTTTACTCTGGAGGATAAAGAGTTCATGCGATTGTGTTTGAAATTTTTGGAAGATCAAGCAAATTAAAGCTTGGATTTATTATTGCAAAATTAATTGCAAAGATGGATGGTTGTAAAATTAATTACAGAATTGCTTAAGCGTTAATTAAAACGATATTAATTGTTTACAGAAAAAATTAATTTTCTTTTAGGTTTGTTGAAATTTGTGTCTAATTAAAAACACAATTTGTAATCAATAAGGCAATTATCAGTCAAACTCCAAGTTCTATCAGTTCTGTGGCTTTTATGAGATTTAATTAACTAGTAGTGGATACTCAAATCAGTTCCAATGTGTCTCAATAATTAATTATTTTACAGAGCTTGATCTTTACACTCCAATACCAGAGAATCATTATTTCGAATCGTTTGCTTCATTTAACAATAGTAGCATAGCATGCAAAAATTTTACGATCATGCAGATGAATACGAGAGGAATCAATTGTGAAAGGAAATACGATCAAATAAAGCTTCAGCTTTCGCAATTAAATTTCAAATGTGACATGATTGTGCTGGGAGAGACAAAATTAAAGCCGAAATTTCCCTCAAACATTTATCATCTGAATGAAAAATATAGTTGCTGTAGAGATGCTAAAAATAGTGGTGGAGGATTATTAGTCTTCATAAGGAAAGGAATCTTCGTCAAAACCTTCAGCAAGTCATCAACAACGTTTAAGAAGATCAAATTAATAATCTTTGTGAATAACTCGAACTATAAGCTTTTATGTTACTACAGAAATCCAATACAGCAATCAATTGAGCCATTTTTGAATGATATTCAATCAGAACTGCAGGAAAACGTTAAAACAATAATTATTGGTGATATCAATTTAGATGCAAAAGCCGAAAATGCTGATTCAAGGAGATATGTTAATCTTCTAAAAAGTTATGACTTCATAATCACTAATGATATCATGACAAGAAACGAAAGCAAAAGAATCATTGATCACGCATCAATAAACTTCATGGACAAGACGGACATTAAAAATTAAACAATTCACAATAGAATAAGTGATCATAATGCTGTACTGACGGAAATATCAAATTTAAAAGCTACAAAAACGTCAAATGTCATTGAGAGAGAGCAGACCATCTGGACAAAACTTAAGGAACACTTCGAGGTGCTGAGTTTTCATTCTGATCTATTTCTCATGACGAATCCAAATGAAATTGCAGAAGAGTTGACTAGAATCCCTGCTAGAATCACGAAAGAAGCTATCAAAATGTGTACAAAAAATGTCGACTTGTATGCAACAAAGATGTCACAGTTTGTAAATGGTTTAATGTGAGAATCATAAAGGCTATTAAACATAAGGATCATTTATCAACGATGTGTAGAATAAAGCCTTGAAATGTATTTTATATGGAGAAACTAAGACAATCGTCTATTAGTCTGAAGAAGATAATTAAGGAAGAAAAAATCAAATACTTAAGCAATGCGTTGGACGGTTGTGATATAAAGAAGATGTGGAAAAATCTAAATGACTTTCTGGGTAGGAGTAAAGGAAGCAATGAGATTACAGCACTTAAATGTAACGAGAATGAATTCATATATGATCCAAAACTAATGTCTGAGATGTTCAACAAATATTTCATCGATTCCGTGTCAGAACTTAAAATGAAGTTAAAGACAAATAAACAACCTGCTGCTGAAAAGTCTGAAACGAAATCAATGCATTTGGAAGAAACATCAGAGACTGAAGTGATGGATGTAATTATGGCGTTATCAAAATCATTACCAGGAATCGACGAAATAAGAACTGATCACGTCAAGACAATAGCAAACGAATTAGCTTAATGTATGGTCCACCTCGTGAATAGAATAATTAAGACTGCTGTGTATCCAGAAATATTCAATCTAGCAATAGTGACACCGAACAATAAAACTGACGACAAAACAAGGATTACAGACCAATTTCGGTTCTCAATACTTTCAATAAAATAGTCGAGAAAATACTCCACAAGAGACTTGTTAGTTTCACAGACGATTATCTTAAGAGAATTTATAAACGTCAATTCGGATACAAGAAGAAATCGAGCACGGAAACGGCAGCTTTAGAGATGATCAGTGAAATACAAAAGGAAATAGATAACAAGTCGAAGGTTCATTGGTTTTTATGGATCTACAAAAGGCATTTGACATTGTTGACATAAATGAATTACTGCTTGCCTTAGAAAACTGTGGCATTAGAGGAAATGCGTTGAAATTATTCAGAATTATTAGTTGCAAACTAGATCTCAACGTGAACAGACGTGTTTACAAATCGCTCCGCAAATTATTCAAAAATCTCAAAAGAAACAAAACAGAGACTACCTGAGAAGCTTTTTGTTTGCAAAAAGTTTCAAAATCTCAGTTTAAATATCAAAATGGTAGAATCACCAAAAACTACCAACATCGAAGAAAATCTTTCTTAAAATCAGCATGGACTTAATAGTTCTCAACAACAACATTCATGTTCAGTGACAATTCTCAATATTGAGGAAATTTTCAGTGAAAATGTTTCACAAGCAGCCGACATTGAGATGACAAATCTCAAACCAAAAAAACAAACAACAATAACAAAAGAAGTTTCTCAATGAAGCAAGTAAAGCAGAAAAACGCCCTCGAGAAGTGATAGTTCCCAACGCTCCTTTAAAAAGAGTAGCAAACCAAAAGATGGGAACAAACCACTGTTCGTACTCCCACCAATGAAGAAAGCTTCGTCTTCTGGAAAACCGTATTTATTTGGTTCACCAGAACAGGAGAAAAAAAGATCGACAACTTCATCGTACTGGGGAGAAAACAGCAAAACATCAGAGCAACAAAAAACAATTTCCGTAAACACGGAAAGCAACAACAACAAATCTCAACAAAAATCAAAACCACCTCCAATTGTCATCAGCACAGGAGGAGCTGGTGAAATCAAGAGATTGACGAATGAAATAAACAATCAACCTGGAAGTTTCTTAATTGAGACCAAAAAGGGCAAACAAGGAACAAAAACGGTAACAACGGAGAGTTGGGATTGCTACGAGAAATTCATCCAACTACTCAAAGACAAAAAGCATCACTTCCACACATACTCCAGCCAAGAACCACTGAAGAAGTACGTACTCTATGGACTCCCAGATATGGAAATCAGTGAGTTGGAGAAGGAACTTCAAACCGTAAAAATCACACCAGTAAAAATTGTCAAAATGACAATGAAACACAAAAGACACGAACAAGACGACGACCAGAACTACCTCGTGTACTTCAAAAAAGATGTAGAACAAGGTGGAAATTTCCTGGAATTCCTCAGAAAAATCAAAATTGTCAGCAGTTTCAAAATTAAATGGGCTGACTACAAAAATAGACAAGCTGGACCATCTCAATGTTCGAAATGTCTGCAGTTTGGTCATGAACAAAACGGTTGTAACAAACCGTCCGTTTGCTTCAGATGCTCTGAGCAACATGACTCGAAAACGTGCCAGTACATATCGAAAGAGACCAACAAGGTTCCACTCGGAAAACTCAAATGTTTCTTCTGCGGTGAAAAACATACAGCAATTTTCACAGGTTGTAAAACCAGACAAGAAATAATTGAAAAATGGAAATCAAAATCACAGAATGGAAACAACCAAAATCAAAACAAAACAGCAGGCCATTATTCATATGGACAACGGAGAAACAATCCTCCAACACCGCATCGTCCTGAGAGATCAACCAGAAACGTCCAACATGCACCAAAACCTCAATGGAGAAAGGAGTATATGGAACCATCAACATCTGGTACAAAAAAGCCTGTTCATCAAAAACAAGTTCCAGTCAACCACAAACCAAGGAACACAAATCCTCCTCCAAATCACAAACCCTCAAATCAGGGAAATAAAAATAACTTGAACAACCAACAAAGCAATAAAGAAAGAGGAAAACATTGGAAAAAGAATCAAAGAAAAAAGCAAAACGAGCGCATTAATAACAATCAACATCAAAAACCAAAGCAAGGTGTTGAGCTTATGGACTCAGAAGACATCAGTGCAACAAGTCAGACCTCGAATGAAGTCTTCCCAGAACCTTCATTCAGTGTTGAGGTAGTGAATCGAAACATAACAACTAATCAACAAGCTCAAAGCACCAGCACAAGAGATAAAAACATCTCAGAAATAGAGGAATCAAAGTGCAAGTACCTCATCAGCGAGCTTCTCAAATTAATCGCCAAAAATCCAGAGTTCATCGACGAAATACTCCAAGCAATCGGCTCAAGTGCCAAAAACACCGCATACAATAATGGATTGTAGACAACAAAGTATCAACGTCCTCTACTGGAATGCTAATGGCCTCACTGACAAAATGTTAGCATTTCTCGACTACCTAAGCAAGCAAAACGTCGATGTTGCTTGCATCTCAGAAACATTCCTAAAACCAAACTCAAAAATTGACTCGCATCCAGACTACGTAATTCATCGATTGGATCGCGTGGATAGACCAAAGGGTGGTGTTGCAATCATCGTCAAAAGAAATCTAAAACATCAGCTTCAACCAAGCTACAACACAAAACTAATGGAATGCATTGGAATCAAAGTCTTCATCAATGACACGGATAGTTGTCACATCCTCTCAGTCTATCTCCCAGGAGGAAGCAAAGGAGGGGAAATAGATCTACATCTGAGAGATGACATCAACAAAATAACAAATCTGAGAGGAAATTACTACATCTGTGGAGACTTCAATGCAAAACATCGAGAATGGAACTGCAACGTTGCAAATAAATCAGGAAATATTCTTCAGGAAATGTCAGGAGAGTTCATGATCTATTTTCCTGACTCGCCAACGTACTACCCAGAAGATCGAAACAAATCAGTGTCAACAATTGACCTGATGCTCTCGAATTCCAACCTCGAAACAACAGAACTTCAATGCACAGAGGCAATGAGTGATCACTGCGCTGTGTATTTCCAAATCAAAACATCAAAAATCGACAGAACTGAAAATACAGTCTACAGATATGA